CATCTCCACTTTCGCCGGCATTCCAATCTGTTTCCATCCCACGGGGCCATTTTCGCTCAAGCTTGCAAGCTTTTGTTTCTGAACTTTTATTTTGACATTTATCCTGACCTCCATGTCCCACCCAGCCTATAATTTAGCCCCCTCCCGAACGGCAACTTAATTGTTTATCTGCTAGACGGGCACCGCTGATCTTTCCAGGTCCTCATTTGCTCTGCATTAGCGAGCGCTACCCACCAATTATCCGGCATTTCCCCAGCCCAAGCGTTAATAAACACGATGCAGCGCAATGGAACGTCTACCCCCCGACGCAGAGAAGTCACTTCAGAGACAAGAGAAGCCTTTTAAAAACATTTACAGTAAGGGGGTGATTAAAAACCAACCCCCCCCCCCCCCAGACAAAACCCGCTCCTGAAAGTCTTCCAAAAAGGGAGATGAGACGAAGGGGCCGCTTTATGCAAGCTGATATGTTCTCTTAGATCGCCTACCTACCATTACCACCGGGGGAGGCTTCCAGCTGCCACTGGGGGGGGGGGGACGCAGCCGGGATTAGTTTACACCTTTTTAATGTTGAAGGATTCAGCGGAGCACCGCAGGAGCAAACGCAAACGAAGCCCGACATTAGCAGCGGCGAGAGCAGAGAGGCCAGCTTCCATGGAGAGAAGGACCCGAGAAAGAGTGCTGGGTCACGCGACAGTCACTTCGGGATGGGGGGGGGCACAAACCGGGGGCGTTTTCTGATGGAAGGTCACCCACTGGCGGGAAAAAGGTGTCAACAACACCTCGAAGAGACAGGAGATATGAGGAGGGCCATCGTGGTCTGAGAGTGATGGGAAGAAGGGAAGGGGGATGGAGAACCCCCCCCCCCCCCATATGCATGATACAGCGAAGGCGGGTACATGCGGAGGAGAGCGTCCAAAGCCGCATGGCTGGCCGCACGCCCGGCTGCGGCGACCGCGGCCTTCACCTGCCCCTCCCCCGTCACTGTCACCCGCTGGGCGGCCAGTGAAAACGCACCCTGCCCGCGCGGAGGACTTCACACATCTGTCCACCCAAACGCTATCGGGGGGGGTGGGCAGAGGGCCGGGCCCAGATCCAGACTCTCCCTGGCAAAGGCCCCTGAAACCAAGCACCCCCACCCTCGCAGAGAAAATGCTGGAGCGCCGCGCTCCCCCTACTTTCGAGGCACTGCCTGACCTTGGCATGACCTTGCACTGCGAGAGGGGGGAGCTCTCCACCTGGCCCCACCCTCCTCCTTACTTTGGGATGCTAACTGGTGTGGCAGAACTTCTTTAAACCCCCCCCCCCCCGACCACCACCACAGCTCTTCTACAAGCTTCCGCATGAATAGCGAGGCCCTGCCATGACAGCAAGGGTGAACGAGGGCAACGGAAAAGCTGGACGGCCCGAGGAGGAACCTGCAATTACCTTACGGCTCGGAAGGATTCCTGAGCTCTTGCTCAATGTTTACACTGCGAGGGCATGGCCGGCCCGCAGATCAGAGCCACTCGCCCTGCTGCCTTGTCACGCACATGTCCCCCTGCAGGCCAGGCATGGCGTCACCCCACTAACCGCCGGGAAAGGAGAGCGGTGGAGCCGCAGGAAGGTGCGATGCGAAGTCACGCGCGGCCCAGGGAGGCGCACAGAGCAAAGCACCATGGGAAGGAGGGGGGCCATGACACACATGTGATCAACAGCAGCCACAAATACGAACCCGAAGGTCCAAAGCGATGCTCCTCAAAAGACTGCTGGTCCTTCCTGAACAGTCCTTCAGACATGTGACTGCCGCGGAGAGCGGTAATGACACAGGAATGCTTGCGGATGCCATTGGGGTGACTGTGAATGGATGGCACGCGTCGAGCACAGGCTGGCCTCTGTGCCGCAAGCCATCGCGGCGAAGCTGTCGCCCTCGGGTCAGAACAGGCTCTGTGAGCATGCAGTGCTATGGGGGGGGGGGGTGACAGGACGCACAATAAACCAGTGTGTCAAAGTGCGGCAGCCGTGGGGAGACGAGGGGAGGATCTGGGAAGTGTGTGATCGGCGGCCGGAGAGGTTATCTTGTGCTGGTGATGTCACGACCACGCTGCCCCCGTTGGCACCCCCCGCGGGCCGTGTGGCGGGGCCATGCGGGGGGGGGGAGGGCTGTTTGCTTGCGAGGACGTGTGCAGTCATCATGTGACTCAGTGCGCTATCTTTAGCCACTTCCCTAAAGTGTGGCCGTTATCTCAACGGCAACGGGGCGGGGCTTTCAGCGCCAGAGGCCACTGCACTGGGGGGGGGCGGCGAAAGGTGTCAGCGAGTGAGCAAGACGAGGGTGTCGCAGGAGCTCTCGCATGCTGCTCCTCTTGTGAAATGTGTCACATCTTTTCCGCTAACGTCTTTGTGTTTTGGGAGCCGACTTTCTGTTCCGGTGTATTCTGTGCTGGTGTCAGGGTAAAGAGGGAAGGCAGGGAATGAGGAGGCAGAAGCATGGATGGGCAGGAAGACAGACAGTCAGACATGAAGAGACAAGATAACAGACAGAGAGACAGACAGACAGAGATGCTGCTGTGCCAGGTGACCAGAGCCGAAGTGAAGCCGGTATGTCTGCGCCATGACCCTGAAGTTGGGTGAAGCGCGTCCGGTCATGTCAGCCACCCACATAATAACTGGGGCTTTGTCTCGCGGAACCCAGACCCGGTTAGTGAGCAGGGAGGCCAGCTGGGCTCAGCCATCTGACCATCCCGTCGGATGCTGCAGGATCGGCTTCCACAGCACGTCCATCTCGGCTCAACGCCCATGTCAACACCAACCAGCACCCCTCTCCAGCACTGCTGGTATCTCCCCGGGGCCTCACTATCTCAGGGGGTGATATGTACCCAGCATGCACCAGGACAGGGCACGGCACATCGCAGAGAGAATGCAGACAGACATGAATGACTCTGATTAGCCGGCGTCCTCACAGAAACTGCTAGCGTGGCAGCGGTACGAATACTTCAGGCTGGGGGCTCCATCTCATCCTCTTCTTTTTATAAATATGTATATAAAAAAACACTGTCCCC